AAATATTCAAGGTTTTCTTGCATTCGTAAAGGTGAAGTAACTTCCTAGCGGATTATACAATAATCGAGAGATTTCAAGAATCAGTGTATGGGCCTTTTCATTCAACCCAATAGCGACAATGGCAGCCACTAGCTGACAATGTCTTACTCGGGACCGGTAGCTGCCGTGTTGCAAATGAAATTGGAAATTTCTTTCCTGGAAAGAATCTTCATACCCTCATTCATCTACGCCAGCCCTGGGCAGGGGAAATCTCCATCCACTCAAATTTTATTGAAGAAAAATCTCCTGACTCTCCTGCTATTGCGCAATCCCGCGCGGTCGCGACTGGGTTAAAGATCAACTACAAGAGATTACCTGGTAGGAAAAGTGAACTATGCCCAACATCCACTTGCTCTTTCCCGAAATATCTCATTCGTGCGGTGAAAAACGGTCGCATAAATAAGTAGTGGGTGAAATAAATGACTGTGTTGTAACTAGGTGAGACCTCCAAAAAAAGAATTTTCAAAGATCAAAAAACTTTGTTTAAAATGGGTGTAAGTGTATACACAATACATATTTTTGGCCGCCTTCCTCAGTCCTGAAATAATTTGAAGTTTCAGTGAACTTCCATTTGGTATAATACCTTATTTGCGAAGTGACCTAGTCAGCGAAAGACGAAAATCTCCTGAACACTATGGAATAAGGTAGGAGCAAGTATTTCAAACTTAAGGAACTTGCAACGCGCTCAAGGCTTACTTTCAAAGTACAAGCACTTTGCAGTCATTTTGAGCACTTTAAGCTTTCCATAGTAAATTTTTGGGAGTCTCATTGTTGCCAAATCCGCATTAACATCAATTTGGGGCTTAAAACAGATGAACAGTGACACGATCATGGGCTCAAAACCTGTGAATTTCCTAAATATACGTCATGCTTAACTTCCTGAGATCTGAGGCTGTAGAAAAAATGCTTGTCATTTCTCTTTCTCCGCCTGTCGCGTAACGTCGTGCAGCGATTTGCTGCGCCCTTTTCACTGCGATTTCAGATACCTAAAAGGATAGCGCTTCACTTGACAAATGTACGTTCACCAAATTCAACGTCAAGTTCAAATACCTTTCGTTTTGCGTCAAACAATTGCCTGCTTGTAAAAATGCAGTTACGTAACATATTCAAGTGCCTCCCAATTGGACTGGCACTGTCGACTTTTCATACAGTGCTAGAAACAATATCCTCAGATTACCCCTCAGTGCTTTATATTTGCAAAACATTAAAGTCACCTCAAAGCGTTCTCAAGGTCGAACTGTACGCCAGAGAGCAACGCCGTTTGCTGATTCAGTAGAATTCTTCGATTTACAAGTCCAGGTAAACTGCGTCCCACATGTTCTGTAGCTCTTATACCACAAGCGGCTAATCAGAAAAAGGAAGTGTAATAAGTTACCTTGTAAACGGTAGAGCGCTAACGATGGATCATG